ATGTAGCAGTCAGTAGGTTTCCAAATTATTTGGCAATTTATAAACTTTTTTAAAACCGAAAGATACCCTTTCTTTAATTATGAAATGTAAAGGTGTAATTTGCTACCAAATGAGTACAAGGAATAATTTCTTCCTGCATGTTTTCCAAAAATATATTTGAATCTATAAAGGCAGTCAAAATCAATGACAAAAAGGCATGCCACTTAAGTAGGTACGTTTTATGGTACATACTTCTTCTTGGCGGTCAGAAAGAAGCTCTTTAAAAAGCCGGCTTCCTGAAGTGTCCAGAATATGTTGAGATTAGGCTATATGATCGTCTCTATTACAACGATAAGCAATAAATGTGTTGCAATCAAAGACTCATTTCAAAATTACGGGTGATATTTAATGAGATAGGGAATCTATTTTACTTGTATTTTCAAATGGTACTGACTGCCCTGCAGCGTTTTGCCTAACATTTACTATTATTGTTTTAACGGTACCTTATCTGTTTGCCTGATAAAGAAATTAATAATATTATGACACCTCCATAGTTCTGCAGCGTTATGGGTAAGTTATAGAAACTGTTGAGTGATCAACCATCTGCCACGCAACGCAATCCTCCCGTTCTGCCTTGGGGCTCACTCTCGAATACCGCCAGCAACAGCTCAGTGGCTAGTAGGGAAATTGCCGTTTAAGACAAGGGAGACTGGAATTACGAAGACAGAGAAGGATTTATCGCTGAAACAACACTTTTATTCGTCTGACGTTTCGACATCCGTCGGGGATTCTTCATCAGAGACATGAGCCGAAAGCAATAGCAGAAACGGGTAACATGCACAGGAATTTGCAGTATTTATAGGACATAGTCATTATTGCAAACGTATGACAACAATTAACGATAATTGCCCATTTGTACGTTGATAGCTTGTTGACCGGCATGCGGGCTCTGACTTGGTGAAATTTCATCACGTGTGGTGGACTCGGGCGTGATGATTTCTCGGCCATTTGGCTCTCCGGTGTTGGCGTAAGACAAGGCGATGGCCTGTGCGTTCCCCAAGTGGTGACCTACTTTGTCCAAATTGAATTTCAGCACCGTTGCAGATGGCCGAGCACTCATCACCCCGAGTCCATCACACGTGACAAAATTTCAGCACGTCACTGCCCGCATGTCGTTCAACAAGCTATCAACGCACAAGGAGGCAATTATCGTTAATCGTCGTTATACGTTAGCAGTAATGACTATGTCCTATAAATGCTGCAAATTCTTTTGCATATTTTACCCGTTCCTGCTATTACTTTCTCCTCACGTCTCTGATGAGAATCTCCGAGGGCTGTCGAAACGTCAGGCAAATAAAAGTATTGACCCAGTGATCGATTCTTCTTCTTCTCAATTACTTCCTGGGACTCGTATGTTCGCCTGTACTGGAGACTGGAATGGCTGTTTCTGGTTCATTAACCGTCACCAGCCGACCCCAGATAATGCACAACGCGAGGCTCGGCTAGCCTTCATAAACTTATGCCATTACTCTCGCTCTTAATCGACAAAACAACGTGCTTGTGGTGCAGTAGGTTAGGGGTTGGGACTTCTTATCAACGAGTCACGTAGTTCATCCTTGGGTGATGCACCACCTCGGGTTAAGTATGGATGGCTGATGATGAGTAATGAGTCAGAAATGTTCAAAATCAGTCTCTCTTGCTCCTGTCAGTAATGCGCATTTGAAACTTAAGCATTGTATGATTTGAAGCAGAGTTCACAAACAGTGAAACTCTCAGGGAGTTGTCGCAAGCGAATCAAACCAGATGTTTCAAACCTATAACACATTCGCCCATTTCCGTCCATTTCTAACAGAGTCCAAGTGACTGCTATCGATCAAATAAATAAAACAAGGCACAGTCTTTCGCTGTAATAGGCTCCGATGTCTGCATACCACAGATAACAAATTTCGCTCATCGCATGTTTTGATGAACCATTGCTCTGCAACTAGCTGTGGTGCTTTTAAAATTGTTTTCGAATTGCCTTTCTTGAACCAAACTATTTTTGTTAATACGCTTTTAGTGTTCCATGCAATCGGACGTTTGCTAATACAAGCGAACATGCGAGTCCCAGGAAGTAATTGAGAAGTGGAAG